ATTCGATAATGTAGTCGATCTACCTCCTTTGATCAGTTTGATTGTATAGGTGTGTGCGTGTGCGTGTGTGTGTGTATAGATACGAATACATGAAATAAGTACAAAACTCCGTTTTGATACAATAATCCCAATAACAATGCGATCGATATTTACTTTTTTTGTGTAGAAATTGGTAGTGGGCATAACTGCGTGACGATGCGCTTGAATCTCCCTTGAGCTGTTTTGATGGTGACTACTCGAGTGATGCCATCGGCGCCTGGGTGGATCTCGACGACAACTTTCAACCACCAGCACCTGCACGGTTGATTTTTGTCGATGAATAAAACGATCGTATTCAATTGAATTTCATGATTAGATTTGCTCCATTTTTTTCGACGCTGCAGCTCGTGAAGGTCCTCCAAATACCACCGTTTCCAGAAGTCCTGCCGTGCCCGGGTGATAAAGCGCCCAACTGATAGCCAGTTTTCTGGAACAGAAGACAGATCAGCTTCCGGCAAAAAATTCAAAGGTCGTCTAATTAATTAATGCGCTGGCGTAATAGCTGTTAAATCATTAGGATCGTTAGATAAACTATAAAGTGCTCTCGAGTTCAAGATTGCTCCAATTTCTATCGCTAGGGTGTTGAGTACCTCGAAAGTAAGTGGCTGTTTGCCGATTACCCGATTAAAATGATGCTTAAACGACTTGACGGCTGATTCCCATAATCCACCATGGTGCGGTGACAGAGGGGGATTAAAATGCCAAACGATATTTCTGTGGACAAAAAAATGATTAACATCGTCACGGAAGTGGTCGGAGTTAAACAGATTGTCTATCTCTTGTAGTTGATTATTGGCTCCGACGAAATTCATGCCGTTGTCAGAAAACACTTGACTTGAGATGCCTGATCAGCCACAAAACCACTTAAAAGCTCCCCAAAAACCTTCAGTCGTCAAGCCACTTACTATTTCGAGATGTACGGCTTTGGATGCCATGCACACAAACACACATCCGTAAGCTTTCACTCGATTCCGATTCCGTGATTTTTTCTCTTTAATGTATAACGATCCGAAAAAATCCACCCCTACATGAGAAAACGCGGCTGCTTCTGTTACACGATCTGACGGCAAGTCTCCCATCTGACTATGAATAGGTATTGGTCGATTTCACACGCACTCCACGCATTTTCGCACTACATGTCTGACTTGCTGTTTTTCATCTAAAAGCCAAAAACGATGTCTAGATGTGTGTAGGGTAGTTTGAATCCCTGAATGCAATGTATGTCAATGAGCATCGCGAATAATGAAATCCGTGACGTGATGGCGCGATGGTAACAAAATCGGATATTTTTGATCGAAAGAAATTTTAGCGTGTTTCAATCGCCCGCCTACTTGCAAAAGACCATGCTCATCAACAAAGAAATCGAAGGCTGATAGATAAGTATTTTTTACTGATTTTGACGAAGACAAACGCTCGATCTCGTCGAATAATTGATCTTTTTGTATTTTACGTAATATTACTCGCTCGGCTTCCCTCCTCTCTTCCACGCTAATACTCTTTTCCTTCAATTTGTTGACCCGTCTGAACCGCAGACGAAAATCAATTACATTAACTTGTTTTGAATAACAAGGAAATCGCGAAAAAATTTCTATCCCTGAATTTGTTATTAAACACGTTTTACGTTTTAATCCCAGTAATTTGCTCGGTGATGTTAAAATTGGTTTTGGCAATTTGTTTTCTGGTCGTTTGAGCCCTGCGGGACCGCTAAGCCAAGTTTCGTTTTTTAAAAATTCGACCGGTACTTGACCCCGTGAAAGTGCATTGGCAGGATTGTCTTTTGTTCGCACATGCATCTATTCGTGAACTGCATCCATTGCCTGAATTTTATTAACTCGATTTGCCTCAAAAACTTTAAGAGCTTCCGGTGATTTTTTAAGCCAATGTAAAACGATCGTTGAATTCAACCAAAAAATTATTTTATTAACATCGAAATCCAGCGATGGACGAATTTTGTTAAACAAACGTACAAGCAGCAGCGCGCCACATAATTCCAGCTGAGGAATCGTTTTTATTTTTACCGGTGCTACTTGAGATTTCGCACACGCAAGACGCACAACGCAATTCTCATACCAATCCGTAGAACGCACATATATACGCGCACCGTAACCTGCTTGACTTGCGTCACAAAACCCGTGCAACTCCATCGTCACTGCACTATCGATTAAAAGTTTCCGATTCATGGCAAAATTTTGAACAAGAGTAAGCTGACGCGCAAATTCAATCCACCGAGTGTTAAGCTCCTGCGGTACCGATTCATCCCAATCACTCTTTGCCCTTCAACAGTCTTGTATCATGATTTTCGCGTAAAATATGATTGGTCTCAAAAAACCCGGCGGATCGAAAATTTTTGCGACTTCCGAAAGTATATGTCGTTTCGTGATCGTACTAGGAAATTTAATCTCTATAGCCGTATACATAAACGTATCTGAGCGCGAATCCCATACTACCCCGAGGGTTTTCGAAACTGATTCCGTTCTTACCACGCATTCACTCTCAAAAATTTTCCGATCGAAGTATCGAACACGTGTTGATGATTAGATACCCACTGTTGAATGTTAAATTTACCACGCCCAAAGATACCAATAATTTCATCACGTATCTTTGACAGCTCTTCGATGGACTGTGCGACCGTCAAAAGATCGTCAACATATAAATCACGTTTCAAGATTTTAGCCGCTCGCTGAAAATTGGCTCCTTTATCTTCAGCTAGCTGGTGAAGTGTGCGTATTGCAAGGTAGGGAGCAAACGCGACTCCGAACGTGATTGCGTTGAGCTCATACACCGCGATTTCCTTCCCGTGGTACCAAAAAATACGCTGATATCGCCTGTCATCGGGATGCACTAAAACTTGTCGATACATTTTTTCTATGTCTGCCGTTAACACGAACGCATAGGAGCGAAACCGCATCAAGTGTTCAAAAATTTTAGGTTAAATGGTGGGGCCTACCAGTAGTTTTTGATTTAATGAGACGCCTTGGTTGGTCTTCGCAGATGCGTCGAACACTACTCGTACTTTTGTCGTATTGCTCGACGATTTTATGACCGCATGATGTGGCATGTAATACCCGTCTAATACTTCGTTCTGCAACAACATCATGTGTCCTAGTGCTATATATTTGTCAAGTACCTTCGTATTTTCACGATTAAGTTCACTGTCCGCATTGCATGAAACCGACGAAGTGCATGCGCGCGAGAGTTTCCTAAATCTGGTAGTTTATTATTCAATGGAAGACGCACAATATACCACCTGGTTTGATCGCGTGTCGTATTTCTTATGTAATGCCGCTCGCATAGAGATTCCTGATTTGATACGCTCACTACGTTTTTTACTTCTTTGATTTCCCAAAATTTCTCTAGCTGTTCAGTTAACGCACTTAAATTACATGTCACTGCCGATTTTTTACAGTCGTTCGGAATACCGCCTGTGATCACCCAACCTAGTTATTTTTTTTGTAAAATTAGATCTCCGTGATTACACGAAAGGTTTATCTGACTGACTGATGAAAATGAAATGTAGCCCCTGAACCAATCAGCATATCTACCGGACACGGAACGTAATATCACGGATCAGCAAGTTTTACATTTGGCGGTATGGAAATTGACACACGCGGAAATGGTTCCTCCGGTACAAAATCTGCAATTCGCGGAATCGTCAGAAAAGTTAACGTCTTGGAAAAATCGGTAGTGTGTGACCTAAAATTGATCTCTACGCTGTATTCGTTTTGGTATTTAAAGAATAAATCGCACCTACGGGAATTGAGCATGCGTTTAACGGTAAATTTAATTCACGAGCAAATTTTTCCGTTACGAAATGAGCTGTCGCACATGTGTCCAAGAGCGTGCGCGCCTCGACAAAGTGGCCCCGAGCGTTTTTGACTCTAAACATTGAACTCATCATTAATTGCGGCTGTGATGCTCGGGTACTCGTTTCTAGCGCGCTCGCTCCCAGTTAAACGCTGGACTTCTCGACTTCTTTCTCGCAATGAAGAGAAGTGTGGTGTTGGTCATTGCATTTTCTACACGTACCCGATTTACACGCCCCCGAATGATGACCTAGACAATTCTTACACAGGCCCTTTAAAGTGGTTCAAGCGCCTAGTGCCGTATCAGAACGGGGAGACTAAAAATTAATCATTATTTTCTTTAAAATATGAAATAAAATTATCGCAGAGACTGTTGTTAGCCATAGTCTAAATTTTATCTGTTACTTTAGTGAGTCAATATAGAAAAACAAAAAAGTTTTATGGTGCCCTAATAAGTGAACTGTCACGGTACGCTCGTAAGTTCAAGAATGTCGCTACATTGCTCAGCTGTAGTCAAACCTATATATATGTACTCTGCAGAATGCAGACAGCTAAGAGCTGACTTGCACTCGCAACTGTATACTTAGTCTCCGATTATTTAAAGATTTTTTTCGATACTAAGACAATTCTTTCATGTTATCAAAAACTACGTAAAAATATATATAAGATAGTATATTTCTTACACCTTACAGGTTATTTATATAAGTGCAGCAGAAGGTTGTATATCGCGTAAGCTTGCATTTCCTATCCAACCTATCTTAAAACTATGATTTTGTAAGCATGATTTCTTACAATTTTCATCGTCAACCTTAATTTTTTTTTATACGAATAGAAAGATGGAAATTCAAAGAATATAATTCAATTTAATTAATCTTGGTTGGGTTATTTACAATTTTAACATTGCGGCCACTAGAGCCACCTTAATTGAACGAATTTCCATCGATCCTCTACACTCAACCCGCTGTACTCCGAGCACGATTAAATACGGTGGGCCTCGCCACACCGTGCACACGTTACCACCACTGTATTAGTAACTAACGCGCGCGCAGACGAATTAAATTTGCCTTTTTTCACAGTCTCCGATTCTCGCTCTCTCTGACGCTTGTTACCACCTTTTTTTCCTTTCACACGCGAAATCTCTGTTTCCATCGTCGAAGGTCAAAACGTCATCGCATTGACAAATTTAGAAAATTGCGTGAGTTTCGGGAGCACATCAAAATCTAATGACTCTTCCCATTTCTGACGAATACTAATCGGTAAAGCCCGCTCCAGCAATCGTACTATTATTGTGTCGTCCAAAACTACGCCTAAAGAAGACAAAACATTTAGATGCTGGCAAGTGTCGTCCACCAATTTCGACAGCCCTTGTGCATTTGCAGCCTCTAACGGTTTAATATCTATAAGAGCGTCTAAATGTTTTGCCACTAGAATTCTTTTTCGATCGTTTGCATCGATAAGTAACTTCCACGCGCTTTTGTAATTGGCTGCAGTTGCGTCGAAAATCGAGATTTTATTGAGCGCTTCCCCCTGTAACGCATCCTTCAAGTAAAAGAATTTAACGAGGTCGTCGATGTCCGTGTGTACAATAACCATCGTTCCAAATGCATTTTTGAACGTTATCCACCTATCAAACTGCCCATTGAATTTTGGAAGCTTGGCGACTGATAGCTTCAGAAGCTTTTGCTTCGCAATAAAGGATGACGTTGCTAAGGGATCGCCGCTGGGACTCGGGTCTGACTGAGCATCAGCTACCGCAAATATCGGCTTAAGTTTCGCTGCTACCGTGTAATACCGGTCAGTGATGTTCGTCATCTTGGTCACGTGCGCATCATTGGGGTCGATCACCTCGAGCTCGTCATTTAGCTTCTTGTATGCGCTAAATAACTCCTTCACGCGATCGAATCTCAGCCGAGCCTTCACCGTATCAAACGATTTCTCTGCCATCAACGTCTCGAGCACCCTGAGTTGTCCCTTTAGCGTGGAGCGTTTCTGCATGAGAACTTTGGCTCGCGACATTTTCGTTTAACCGATGATCAATAACGTACAATAAACCCAATATACTGGAAAATAAATAAAACTCGTAATACTCCTGTACAGACATACCCGTAGAATAATTTAAAAACCCGAATTATATGACAAAATTAAAAAAAAGATTAAAAGACCCCACTAAAAATAATGAAACCCAAAACTCAAAGGCTAATAAGAAAAACTGTTATTTTGATGTTGTAAAATTAAACTTACTAATTTACGATCAACAATAAAAAACGAATTTAATAATTCCAGTAGTATTTGTACTAAGTTAAAGGCCCCGCAATTTTGACACGGATAATTAACATGAAATTAAACCCAAAAAATAAGGACACTACACGATAAGACGTTTGATATTAATACGACGCCATTCGAATATACCAGAGAACTAAAAAAGTTAGTCTAATCGTGTGAAAACAATCGATTGGAAACAAACAACACCGAGAATGCGACCGTTCACACTAGCTGGCTTGAGCGCGTCTTACCTCCCCCCATTTTTTTCGTCCTAGCCTGCACTCGTTGGACGCGCGATCCTGAACACGCACTACCTCCCCCATTAGCCTTTTTTGGCGCGGTTGGCACAAATTCACTTACACGCACTAACACTCTCGCTCGCAAGAAAAACAATGCGCCGAATTTCCCGCACTTATCGATATGTTTCTCTTTCTGATTTTTATGCACTTTACAATATAAATGATAAATAAAATTGTTTGTTTTGTTAAACTGAAAGCTCTGAGGAAAATAGTGCTACGAAAAGATAAGGGCTCAACTCAAGTACGAAGTAGACGAAGCTAAAGAAGGAAAAAATAAAATAAGCAAGAATAAATAAAGGTAGAGTGCAATGCAAAAAAAAAAAACAATAACAATAGCACAGACAAAGAGATAAGGATTTATACAAATAAGCGAGGAAAAGAAAAGACGAACGCACAAGAGAGAGAGAGAAAAAGAATTAATATTAATACGGGGAGAGAGAGAGCGAGTAAAGATGTTAGCTAGAGTTATCGTTAAATTTGGGAATCAAGCGTAGGTAAGAGGAAAAGAAATTCAGTTAAAGAGAGAGAAAGCAAGATAAAAAGATGAGTCTAAGTTTACAGTAAAGAGTGTTCAATAAAAATGTGGAGCAGTTAGATTTTTCGATGGTGCACGTGGCAGCTGGAAGCGAGATCTCCTTCGTTGGCGCCAATGGCAAAAACCACGATGATCTTCCTGCAACTCTCTCGATAATTGTCGTCGTCGCTGTTTGCTCTTCTTCAAAATTCGATGAGAATCGAATGATGTGCCGAAATCTATCAACGTTAACAAAACGAAACGACCAAAAATTAAAGACTACACGTGACAGCACCAGAAAAAAACGTCACGTCGGGGTCACCATGAATTGTAGCACAGGGGTCCTATGCTACCCTAATGACTGCGTCTAAGTGACGAAGCCATCTGATTTATTAATAAACTAAAAAAGAGGGAAAACACTAAGCAAATACAAAATACAAAATAAAACACGAGACAGGCAACACTATGATGCGAACAAGTTTCTAAATTTAAGGGCAACAATTTGACAGCTAAATAATTAAGCTACCTTTACTATAAATGGAAAGAAGTTAATTATAAAAGCATTTACGTTAATCAACGAAGGATAGGATAGGTTAGGTTAAACTAAATAAAAAACACTACTTATAAGCCACTGATGAAGATGTAATTTGTGGCTCAAGGGAGGAAACTCTTGCGAGAAAACCCCCTAAGAGGAAAAAACAACCGATACAAAATTGAATACAACAAGAATTTCAACCTGGTTTGAATTGATGTGTAGATGTGGAGGTGTAAATGTGTGAGAGTGTGAAGGTAAGTGTGCGTCCACACTGTTCTCCTCCTCGACTTCGTACCATAGTTCCGCGAGTGCGGATGTTTACCGTGGGTGCTCACAGCTCGTGGTAAAAGTTGACACGGCACGTGGATGTAATTTTAATTTGGACGAACAAGAAGAATTAATCCAAGAAACACGTTAATGCGTTGCGGTGCAACGAAAAACTTCTTGAAAAAACTCAAACGAGCAAAATTTATACTAGACAAGCTACGTACACGATTTCTCAGAAAACAACTGGAGACCGCTCTGTACAGAGGCAAGTATCGGGCTAGACGAGGCCTACCAAATTTTCCCAGAGGAGACGCCTTTTCTCTCTCCCTCAACCCCCCCCCCTTACTAATAATGCTCGCCAATTAGCGGAGGTGTTATTCTTCTCAAGTGTCAATCGGGCGTCGGGATGCGAACAATGCCGAAGATGAACGATATATACTAATAAGTCGGTTTTGAAGGGAGAGAGAGAACGAAAAACTAGAGCATAATAAGAAGCGTGCGCAACGAATGTGTGTGAAAGTAAATAAATTTAAGTGTAGTTCAACGTATTGATAACGACGAATGTGCTGTGAGCTTCTATGCTCGTCCGCTCACGTGGCAGTACTCGATTTATTTGTGTTTGACTAAACAGTCAGGTAGTGTATGGCTTAAAGTATAGCTCAAAGTATGACTCAAAGCATAACTTGGTAAATGCCATAAAGAATGACTTAATAAATGGCTTGAAGTATTTACGAATGCATGGTTGAATGTATAGGTTAAAGTATGGCTTAAGGTATGGCCTAAAAACTAGAAAAATGTGTAGCTTATAGTATGGCTAAATGTATGGATTAAGGCTTGCCCATTCAAATCTTTCTCTTAGTTTAAATTTTTCCCCTTCAAATTTGAATCCAGCATATTTTGCAGCAAAATGAATAGGTCTTAATGCTATTTCAGAACGGTTTTTCAGTTTTGCAGTCATTTGAGTGATTTCTTGTTCTTTTAGATGTGGTAATGGCACTTTAGTGCTTTGTTTTTCGAAGTGAACTTCAAGCTCATGAAAAACTTGGGCAACTTTACTTAGTTTTGACTTATCTAATTGCACTTTCGTAATATAAATAAATATTGGATTTACAAAAGTTTCTTATTTATCTATTGTACTCCAGAATAATTCATCTAAAATTAATGATTTTTAAATTAATGATTATTGTCGATAGTGGCAATGTTATGAAAAGTACATTCTTGGTAATAATTACTTTGAAAATGTTATATTCAGTAATGATTATGTTGATCTTATGTCACAATCTAGAATTTTTGCCACTGCAAATAAAATTCAATGTTTCCTAAAAAAATTTCATGTGTACATTAAAATTACATTAGAAGATTTCAGTAACGTTATATTTTTTGGTAACTTTTCTAGTGATTTAAAATTGAGTCTATTATTTTCTGGTGACATCAATTCTAGTGTATTTACTTTAATGACTTTTCAAAATACAATTACTAAACCAAAATTTTAAAAATTATACATTTGATATATAAAAAAAACTAAAGATTAAAAAAAGAAAAAAAAAAAATTAATAATCGTTATGAAAATTGTTGTCTTGTCAGTTCAACAAATAATAATAAGTCTTCGATAGAACTTTTTTTCTATGGTGAAATGAGTATTATATGTAAATATTGTTCAATAATGTTCTAAAAAGATAATTGTTCAAGAATGTTTTAATAAATGGCTTAATATATGGTTCAAAGTATGGGTTAATGTGTCATTAAAAAATGGCTAAACGGATGGCTTATAGTATGGGTTAAAAAAATAGTTCTAAAAATAACACGATTTTTGACTTATTGTATGTACTTAAGATATAGCTAAAAGTCTGCCTCAATATCTGGCTGACTGAACGGCTTAACGTATGTCTAACTGTATGGCTCAATGTACAACTTCAAGCATGACACGGTGTGCGTCTGAACTTATGGCTTAACGAATGACTTCAAATATGACTTAATGTATGGCTTAAAGTATGGCTTAACGTATGGCTCAATGTGTGACTCAAAGTATGGCTATATGTATGGCTCTAAGTATGGTTTAATGCATGGCTCAAAGTATGTCTTAGTGTATTGCTCAAAAATTTTGCTAAATGTACGGCTTAAAGTATGGCTTGATGTATGGTTAAAGGTATGGCTTAAGGTTTGGCTAAGTGTCTGGCTACATGACTGGCACATGCTCTGGTTAAATTTCTGGACTTATACGGTTGCTGTACAGAAATAAAAGATTTTTACTTCACACGTAATAAATACAGGGTTTCTGCAAATTCGTTCGATCCCTTGAATTTAAAAAATTTATTGATGTACTTCATTTTACTTTTTGTTGAACTAAAAACTTCATAGAGTGCTTTTCGACGATGCAGAACTGTTTTTTTGCACTTCTCGGTAATTATAACTTTTCTAAGCTTTTTTCGACGATCGAGAACTCATCTGAGTGCTTTTCAAGAATCAAAAACTTCTATGAGCGAATTTTAAAGAACAAAAACTACTTTTAGTGTAATTCAACATTCATAAACTTTTCTAAATACTTATAAATAATTGAGAACCTCTTCGAGTGCTTTTTGACAATCAAAAACTTTTCTGTGCTCGTCTTGACGGTTAAAAACTTCTCATAGTGATTTTTGACGATCGAAAATTTCTTCGAGCGCTTCTTGGCAATCATAAACTTCTTTGGGAACTTGTTGGTGATATAACATATATTTTATTTCTGATTACCAAAACACAGCTTTTTTAATTGGTTTTTATTAACAATATGAAATTTCTCCCAGGGCTGTTCAACGATCGAGAACTTCTTTGAGTGCTTCCCGATGGTCAATTACTCATTTTTTTTTATCAAAATCTTCTTAGGATTTTTTTCATCACTACAGTATACGTCTGAGTGCCTTCGTTGACGATCAAGAGATTTATAGTCTTTACTACGAAGGAGAACTTACCAAAATATTTTTTGGCGATCAAAAACTTTTCTAGTGTATTTGACAACTAAGAGCTCTTTAGAGTGCTTTTTTTTAATTAATAAGTCCTCAAAATGACTATTTAATTTGGAATATTTAGATATATCTAAATATTTAAGTTAAATTGTACATAAAACCTGAACTGTTATCTTGATTTGAATCCTTCTTGTCTT